GGAAGTAAATAGCTGGAAGGATCTGGTGAGGAGCCTATAGTGGAAGAAAAGGATTCTGAATCAGTTGTGACATTCCTCAGGCTGCAGCCTGAATTACAGGTCTGTTATGTCCCCTTAGCTCTCCAGCCTGGATCCCCTTTTACACTGCCATACTGTCAGCATCGCAACCTTTCCAGGCTCTGTTCACCCACAGCCCCCAGCAGGTAAAGTCATTCCTAGTTGAACACAAGTGCTATATGCCCAGCCATCGATGAACAGATAGAAGGTGACACCAGCATATCCTGCAATCCCAGCCTTGTCTCTCTTCCCACCCTCCCCTCAAAAAAAGTGCCCTGTACTGTTCAGTGGCCCAGTGGAATGTACTAACTCATCATTAGTTTGTCATTCCAACAGTGGATAATGAATATACACCACCCTTGTCTCAAGTGCGGGTTTCCCAAACACACTGGTTTAGATAAAACAGTAAACCCCATTTAACTAGAGAAAGATAGATTTTAAGTGATTTACAGGTGCTAAGGCATAAGTCAGATTTAGTTCCAAAAGAGAGAGAAAACCACCCTTTAATTTCTAGACTTTACCTAGGCTAACTCTAAAAGCAAAATCAGTTGTCTCGCCCTTAGATGCAATATATGTCACAGGCTGCTGCTTTTTCCAACCTGGAACCACTCCCCTTAGTTCAGTGTTCTTCAGATATTTAGTGATGTCATAGGTAAGGTGGCCAGAGGCTCCCTCCCTCCCCCTTCTTATACTCTAACCCTTTATACTGGAAAAGTCTTTGCTGGGTCATGGGGTTCAATTGCATATGTGTTCTGCAAGCTGTTCTGGGGAATTGTAAATAATTTGTTTATAACTCTCCTGCTGGTGAATCTCCGATTAAGCAGCTAATGGCCTTTTAGCACCTAGCTAGTGTCTTTGAAAAAATGGTCTGAGGGCATTAGCCAGAATGACAGCATATTTCAGTAACAATCACCTAGTAAAATCTCAGCTCCCTGTACAATGTTGATAGATTACCAAGACAATGTTGGTCTGTAGATTGAGTTTTCAAATGATACTTCAAACAAAATATATTATGCCCATACAAAAGTGGTGAACATGGGCTGCAGGGTGTCACATGGGGTACAGTATATCCCACCAATTTAAAAAGTCCCTTGGTGAAAGCTGTATGTGAGTTTTACACCTCTGTAAAACAAATTTTGCAAGCAAATTTGCTTTCTTAAGGATCTGATGTTACTTAAATAGTTTTTTAAACTTGCTCTCCTCTGTCATGGAAAAAGGTCTTGGAAAGATTGATGCTAGGTTGGTTACTGGAAAAGTTTGACAAGTTAGAACACATTGGTTGAGTTCTCTGTCAAATGGGATTAAACATACATAACACCACTGTTCATCACTTGGTTTATCTGCCTGTAGCTTCTCTACAGTGATACCAAGAGAAAGTCTTACATTTAGATCCAGCTGCCAGTGTCAATTGCTTATAATGCAAACTCGGCTTAAGGGCAACAAAAACAAGCCAATGGTGCCTCTGTGCACTCCGCACCAGCGTTATGGTGCAGGTGATGGGGGTTTAAAACACCAAGAAATCTTTGGACATTTAATGGCAATAGCAGTTTAACTCCCACTTCTTATTTGATCAGCTGCCCCTGGGGTGACCAGATACCTATGATCTAATTAAGCCAGTCAGATTTGCCAACTGCTGAGTATGTTTCAACCAGGAGCTGAGGCTAGCAGAGCATAAAACTATCAGATTCACTTAGAGTTAATACTCTACTCCATGGCTCTACTTATCCCACACCACTGGTTCCTTGATATGTGGCAATTTTAAGTGTGCTTATAGCTTACTGTTTGAGGTTCCAAACCCTTTCCGATAGATTGTTGCCTAGCAAACACAGGAGCAAGAGATGGAGGGACTATCTCACGTCCTCTTCCATTTTCAGTGGGAGAGAAAGCCCCTGGCACAAAAGGTTGTAAAAAGAGCAGGAAGACAAAGAGCTCAAGACAGGACCCTGTAGCTTCTCATTCCTGGGAAGGACAATTTTCTGAATCTGAGCTAAAGCCCCCAGAGGAGGAACCTCAAAGCAAGTTGTTTCAAGAGGAGTTTTGTTTCTATCCTGGCAAGTAGTGTCAGGCACTGAACCCCCACTGGAAGAACCTCAAAAGGAGGAGGCATCAAAAGATAAGAACTTACCCAGAATAGATCTAGACAGAAAGGGAGTGAAACCACTCAAACCTATCTCCTCTCCATGCAACATTGGAAGATGTAATTAGGGCTGAATGCAAAACCCAGCAAGAGCTCAGAGGCTGGCCAAGATGCAGTATCACGTTCATAGATCCAATCCAGACCTAGTTACTCTACCAAATGTGGATGCAGCCCTTTCATCCCTTGTAAAAGACAGGATGATCCCAGTTAAGGGTGATTTCTTCCCCAAGGACCAGACAGAGAGGAAGACCGATTGCTTATGGAGGAAGCTTCAGAATTCCTCCTCCACCCTCTGAGTATCCACAGCCTCCGCCTCTTCTACTTAAGCCATCTTGGCATGGACTGATTCCCTTTCAAAAATCAGAAAATATTTCTGTGTGGGAGCCATTCTGAGAGAGCTTGCGTAGCAGCAGCCTCTGTAGCAGGCACCTTCTGTGACAGCCTCGGATTCACTGTGAGGGCAATGGGATGTGACCCTGCCTCGTCATCACTTATGGCTAAGGTCATGGAAAAGGCTGATGCTCATGGCAGACAGACGCTGACCAAGGCTCTTCAGTGAGCTTGTTGACAAATCCACAGCAGGATCCTCTAAATAAAATCAAAGATGACTTTCTTGACATCCAGGTCCTCAAAAAGAGAATGTAGGCCTTATTTATTACAGATCACATTACTCCTTTTGTACCTACTCTAAGTATCTGTGGAGGGACACCCAACCAGCCCTTGGCAGATGGAATAGGTCCAAGGGCACAAGGGGCAGTTGTGATCCTCTGGAAAACCCCAATTTTTAATCAAACATGACCTGGGGCTGACCCCATGACATGTTCACTCAGAATGGGAGCAGGCGACAAAAATCTGCAGCTGGCTGTATCCACACCATGTCAGACAAACGAGTCCTGGATGGAGTCTGCCTGGGTTATGCATTAAGAGTCAAAGGCGAGTCCCAAACCTAGGTTCCTGATCTCCCAAACTTCCCCCAACTAGATGAAACACAGCTGCATGAAGATGGCTATAGATTACCTTGCAACCACCCCCAGGCTATTTACCCAGGTGGTAGTTATCCCAACCTCTCAGAGAGGAGGGTGCATGCATATCACTTCCTGGATGGTCTTCTGATCAGGTCCCGCTCCTTGGAATGAGCACAAGTTCTAGAGCATCATGGCTTCGTTATCCACCATACAGACAGCCAAATGAATCCAGTTCAGCCCAAGTTTAGCTTGGAAGTCATGAGAGATACTGAGCTACACCAAGTTTTTCTAACAGACAGGATATGCAGGATGATAGATACTATCCCCCAGCAATCACTCAACTTTATTACAAGGGTTCTGATATCATCTCTTGATATGATGGTGTCCTGCAATGGGCAAGATTCCACCTATATTCTCTAGTTCCTGATTTCTCTGGATCCAGAGGACCCATCAACTCTATCTATCTTAATCTCATTGCCCAAAGCAGTATTGAAATCTCTATCCTGGTGGCTGCAAATCAGCTACGCAGCAGACCACAGGATGGCAGAGCCGGAGAGAACGGTGGTGACAACCAACGCCGGTCTCAAAGCATGGGGAGCCCATTCAGGGAACAAATCCATCTAAGGATCATGAATGGACAAGGAGCTTCAACACTGAATCAAATGGCCTCAGTCAATCAGGAATACCTTTAAATAGTGATGTCACCATAGCAGCAGTAGCTTCTGTCAGCAAACACGGATGCACCAGATCCACAGCCATCCTACAGGAATCCAACCTCCTACATTCATGGGCAGAAAACAACCTTCTGTCCCTTTAAGCTCTCTACATTAAAGGGGAGTTGAGCAGCCAGGCAGATTGGCTGGGCAGACGGAAGATAGAGCTGGGGGAATGGAATCTTCACCCAGTCCTTTGACTCAATAGTCAGAGCCCTGCCTGGGTCACCCATCATGAGACCTAGTTCCAGTTTCTTCTCTAGAAGGGATCTCTGAACCAGAGCCAGCGATCAGGACCTGCCTTTCCACTTTTTGCAACACTCCCCAAGGCAATTCAGAGGCTCAGAGTTTAATTACTCAATACCCGCCCTGACTACATGCCTCCATTTGACATCCCACTCGAAGGGATGTGCACACCTTCTCTCGGCAGAATAAGAAAAATCGTACCTTACCAAAAACCTGCAAATCCCAGCCCATCCCATGCGCAGAAAGTCATTCCTGGGAGACTAATTTTCCTCTCACAACTATTCTGCCCACATGGGTTAAGGCAGAATTAATAGTTGCTGCATAGTAGGAAATGTTCGTATTGGAAATTCTGCATTTCTCTGTGTTCAGCCACCTGTTGGTTAATCCAGAGATTCGAATGTCTGAGTAGCCCCCCTGTGGAGCCGTTTGACATATGCTGATGTGACACCTGCCATCTGGGCTGACAACCTGGAGACCCTCACCGCTAAAATCATGAGTTTCTACAACTTGAGCTACAGAGCTTTGCTCTCAAGTTGAGAGCGATAACAGACCCATATCCTCTGTAGATCAGACATGGGGGGGGACACAATGTGCCGGCCATTGGGGCACATCTGACGTTAAGTACGATTAAGCCTTTTGCTTTATCAGAGCCATAAAGAATAAAGCCACCCATCTGATTATGATTGTTGCCTTCTTGTGAAAATGGGCCCAATTGTTCCAGGAAAGGGAGTGATTTTCTTTGATCTCTTGAGTTTCCATCCACATACAGTTATGTGCTCTCCAGAGTCTCACTAGCATTCAGTTTTTCTCTTAGAAATAGCACAATATACATCCCGCTTCCACATAACCACCACACAACTGTGTGTTACTCAAGCTTGGTTTAATAAGTTCTACTTGCAGAACGACAGACACACATACACCAACTTTACAGCAGGAATGAGTCAGGATCTGTTCTGCTTCTCTGGGCTAAGAGAAAATGGTCATTTTTAAGGTATGACCTGGTCTAGCCAGCGATGTTCTTGGGATTCTCTTCTCTTCACAGCTGGAGTTCATTTGGCATGCTTTCCCCTTTCAAGCCGGCCAGAAGGTTGTTAGCAGCCAGCACAGACATGGCGCTTCTCGTGGCGTAGGTAGCGCTTCCAATGTGAGGCAAAATCACTATACGGGGGAGAGAAGACATATTTCAGAGATGGGTTTGGTATTTGAGCAGCTCTGTCAATGAAATTAAGAATACATTTTAAAGCTTAATGCTTTTAAAGGGGAGATGGAAAGCATTTGTGATCTTGTACCCTTTATGTAGTATAAAAGCTACCTCTTTAAAACTAAATATTAGAAAGTGTAAAGTCAGGACCTCTTGTTCCTAACATAGAATCATAGGAGTGGAAGGGATCTCGACGGGTTATCTAGTCCAGTCCCCTGCACTCAAGACAGGACTAAGTATTATCTAGACCATCCCTGACAGGTGTTTGTCTAACCTGCTCTTAAAAAAAACCCCATGATGGAGATTCCACCACCTCCCTGGGCAATTTATTCCAGTGCTTAACCACCCTGACAGTTAGGAAGTTTTTCCTAATGTCCAACCTAAACCTCCCTTGCTGCAATTTAAGCCCATTGCTTCTTCTCCTATCCTCAGAGGTTCAGAAGAACAATTTTTGTCCCTCCTCCTTATAACAACCTTTTATGTACTTGAAAACTATGTCATGTCCCCTCTGTCTTCTCTTCTCCAGACTAAACAAACCCAATCTAACATCTCACTGTTTGACAAGAACATAGGACTGGAAGGGTCTTCCTGGTTCACTAACTCAGGTCCCCTGCTTGTTTTAGGTGAATTAAAAAATACTATTTCTTTTGTTTTTTACAGTGCAAATATTTATAATCAAAAATAAATATAAAGTGAGCACGGTACACTTTCTAGTCCGTGTTGTAACTGAAATCAATATACTTGAAAATGTAGAAAACATCCAAAAATATTTAAATAAATGGTATTCTATTATCACTTTAATCACACGATTAATCGCGATTAATTTTTTTTATTGGCTTGACAGCTCTACTTCTAACATGTTCATCACCTCGGTATCTGAGCAGTAAGGTCCCAATCCATTGACGTTAAGGAGACTACTCATGTGCTCAAACTAGGCAACATGCTTAAGTCCCTTGCTGAAATGGGGTCTAAATTCTCAGCTGATGGAATACGGTGATCAGTCAGGGACATGTTTGCAAATGAGCAAATACATTTGAATGAAATAAAATTTGCCCTGAATTTAATTAACACACGCAGCTGACAAGGTTTTCCCTCCTCAATGCCCCTCATGTCACACTGCCTTGCTATGGCCCAGTGCTAAGAGCAGCTTACTGAAGCACACATGGTTTGACTTTCCCTTGCCTGTGACTAATTTGCCCCGCATATTAAACCCTTGCTAGACACGAACCATGCCAAGCTCACCAGGATTGAAATTCCTTGTCAGGTCAGTGTGGCAAACAGAATAGCAAGAACTACATGAGCCCCTTCTCTAGCCACTAGAAGCCACTGCCTCCCCATCAGAAGTGCAGGAAGTGGACTGTAAGAGAAGGTGCAAACAGCTGCTGTTTGCAAAGATGGTGGCTTACCACAATTCTTCAGGGAAAGGAGAGGGTGGTCTGTAGGCAGCGGCTCTGGGGTTGTGACATCCAGACCAGCAGCTGCAATCTGGCCACTAACCAAAGCCTGGTACAGGTCTTCCTGGTTCACCACCGCTCCCCTAAGAAATACAGTTTAAGCTATACAAGAGCTAGGTATTGTTACTAGTAAGCCAGACAAGCATGGAATACAAACACTGCCGCGTGCTTAACTTTACACACTCGAGTCGTCCCACCGGCTTCAGTGGAACGACTCACCTGCCTGAGCGTTTGCCCCATCGGCCTTAGGCAGGAATAATCAGCTCTGTATGTCACTTTGTGCCCGTTGTTCCACACCACGAACAATCAGGTTCTGCTTAACTGCTCTCTCGATGCTCTGCAACGGGTTATCGTAAGTCACTGTACCCAGGTACAAACCTGGCTGTAGTCCAGGGGTTCTCAAACAGGGGGTCGGGACCCCTCAGGGGGTCGCGAGGTTATTATATGGGGGGGTTTCAAGCGGTCAGCCTCCACCCCAAACTCCACTTTGCCTCCAGCATTTATAATGGTGTTAAATATATATAAAAAAAGTGTTTTTAATTTATAAGGGGAGGGGGGGGGGGTCGCACTCAGAGGTTTGCTTTGTGAAAGGGGTCACCAGTACAAAAGGTTGAGAACCACTGCCGTAGTTGACCCATTGCATTCGAATCCCATTTGGGCACCCACAATTTGAACTGTGTTTAAGCACAGTTTTAACCCTCAGCTGTAACATCCGTGTAGATGGCACCGTAGCATCTGACCAATCCCCATGCAGCTCCTATCTTCCATGGCGACAGCCCGCTGGGGAAAAGGCCATTTGAGTATCACCACCAACCACAAACAAAGCTTTTCCACCCGGGAGTACAGCCACAGCCACTTCCTCCCATTAAGGAGAGACTCCAAGATGGCGCCCACTTTGCAGCTTTTAGAGCGGCAATAATCCCATGATATTCGCTGAACTCCACCCTAAGGGGGAGAAAAGTTACTTTCTTGTGTACATTAATATCTAGTATCCATTTAAAAGATAGTCGCAGCAGGCCAAGCTACAAGGCTAGCAAGCACAAACTCAGAGTTGGTGCCCCAAGCCAATACTTGCCCCCCCATGGCAATTTCAGCGTAATCCCTTGACATCCATAACACCCGTATATCAGTTACCTGAATATCACCTGCTTTTCCTTTTTCACCCACAATCTAGTCTTGTTTAAGATGACAGTGAAGATTTTCACCTGCTTGTGTTGATCAACACAGACGTTTTCTTCATTCGGCTGAAGAAATCCTTGTCGCACATTCCTTTAGTGTCAGGAGTTAAGGAACAAGTAACAACAACAAAGTCTGACTCCTCTGCTAGCTTGGTGAGTGGGACTGGGGGGGAAAAAAAATCCAAAAAACACGTCATGAGTTTCCGGAGGGGGAAGCAAGGGTGGGTCTCGTGTATTTTAACTAGTTTGGGAACTACCCAATGTCCATTAAATAGTCATCAGTGAGGGACTACTGCTTCAGGAAGATCTTGCTAACCTCACCCCATGACTGGGTTGCCAAACCCAAACAAAAACATCATATGAACAAGGTGCCATGTTTTAAAGGACCTTTAAAAAAAAAAATAGACAAGGTGTCATTAACCAAAAGAAGAAATTTACCCATGCTTAGCAAGTCAGTCTTCCACCCCAGAGGTGGCTGCATTGTGCATTTCAGGGGTGGTACGTATTAGTTAGCAAAATATTACCATAATATTTTAAACAAACATTTAGAAGTTCTGTAAGGCCTGAAGACAGATTTGACAACTCTTTCAGCTTTCACCCAAGGATGGGAGGAGAGGAATAGGTTCACTGGATTTACAAACCAAAAGATTGACCCCAATAGAAACTGATTTTTTTGGAACCGTTTATTTTTCAAACGCAAGTCACAGCTGGGCAACAGCTTAGGACTTTGCACGACAAAGTCTATTAGTGAGTTTAACATGCAGAAAGGCACAGTAGAGCATGTGCTTTATTATAGGTAGGAAAACAAATATTTGATATAAATGTGAATATATCTGAAGAGAGTCTCATTTGAGAGTTGCCAGTTATTTAAGAGGTCTGGGATGAAATCTTGGCCCCACTGAAGTCAGTGGGGTCCAGATTTCACTCATGGCATCGTCACCACTTTCAATCAACAACATATTAAATGTGTTTGCGCTCTACATTCAAACACCAGCCACTTTGTGGGGCCTTAATAATTCAGCACTGCTACACTGCGCTTCAGGAAGCCTTCAAGTTTCCAATCACCACATCCAAGGACAAGATCTTCCCTGCATCAACTCATTTGGACTGTTTGTTATTCTGCACTTACAAAGAGAGCTTTGTTTCCAGAGCTGTCTTTCCAGCTTCATTTATGTCTCTTACCAAAGTCGGCTTGAAACTCCACGGCGCTCTCTGGTTTTGGGCGACTTCCCGTATACAAAAATTTCTTGACCCCAAATGGCTTTAAACGGCGCGCCACTGCCTGTCCTAAAAACAAGAAGAGGTCACGTCTCTGCACACTGCGATCATGCACTGCAGGAAGGAAACCACTAACCCTGCAATCTGACAGCCCAAAATACTCCTGCATCTATCGACAAGGCCGCAGGATGCATCCACTGTTCACTCAACTGCAATGAAACCGGCCACTTTCATTAAGAGATTACTCTAACTGCACCAGCCTGAGGTTTCCCATTCATTTTGGAGGCCACATGCTCTCATTCACTCCGTGGGAAGTGAATGAATTTTCGATTGGTAAGGCGGCTGCAGCAAAGGGAATGACGGGACATTAAATCTGAAGTGACATTTTGGAGAGAAAATTGAAGGAAGGAAAAAAAAAAATCCATTGACCAACTCCACAAGCTAATAGACAAGCCAGCACTCCCGTGTACCATGGACTTTGGGATATTTGTTTAACTGAAACAAAGCAAGAGAAAGTCCAGTTTGCTTTAGGAGTCCGATAAGGTGGAAATATGTGAATGTTTTACAGCTTAAGGTCTAAGCCTGATTGCAATCGCACGCTGATTAGTAGGATGGAGAGAGAGATTCCTGCTTAGTCAGCCTGTGGCTCCTGGGAGAGCAGGTGAATGGGGGAGTGTTCCATCAGCCACCGGTTTGAATGTCCTCAGAATGTTTTGTCCTTCGCAGTTCTCTTTATTTATTTTTCAGTTTCTGTGAATGTGTCCAGCACCGCTACCACGGGGCAAAGTTAAACACAAAATTGTTAGCATAACCAAAGAATGAAGTAACTTGTGAACTCCCCACCTAACGGGTGAGAGCATAAATGTCTGCTCAGCAAAAGCCTGAGTGAACATAGGGGCTGAAAGTTACATCCAGGATTCATCGGATTCTATAACTAACAAGAAGGAGAACACCTGAGTCATGGGTTGTTCCCTGCAGGAAAGGGGGCTAGACACAAATTCACATGCACACACAAAAAACAGAGGCAAAGAGAAGCAAGTTTCTGGCCGTGATAAAACTGAGTAAAATATTAAAGCTACAGAGAGTACACACTGGCGAGCTAAACATCTTCTTACTGATCACTGAGTTTGTTATTTTAATCCAACAGTCTATTCTATGCAGGTAGTTGTACCATGCTCATCACCAGCGTATCTGAGCGCCTTCCACTAGTGCATTAAGTAACGACAGCTGGCCTGTATCCGTTCTCTCATCCCCTCCCCAGAGGGAGGGGTATGTGCAGTGAAGTGTCTTCTTTTGGAAAACACACACACACACACACACACACACACAGAGCTATGTCAGTCAACAGTGCTCCCATTATTGGGAGACAAATACTAGTATACATCTACACAATACAATTCACTCACCTATTCTTCCCAGCCCTATGATTCCTACAGTGCTATCAGACAGCCCGTACCCACACATCCACAGAGGCTTCCATGTTGTCCAACCACCACTACAAAAAGGAGTGAAATACAAACAGATGTTAGACCGATTCCATTTTCCAGGTTGGCCTGGAGTCTGGATATGGACCCAACAAATGACGAATGGCACAAATACTTCACAACCCCTGTGTCACATACCGGTGGCAATGATTTAGCACCCTAGAAACAGAAATGAACAGGTATGAATGGTGCTAACATGAAGCGACGGGCTCCACAATGTTCCTGCTGTAAGTCACCTTTAGCGTTAATTAGAGCAGCCTCAAGACTGATCTAACTTTTGTTCCACTCCCCACAGCCCCTGGGTACAGCCTTTGTGCAGTGAACTCTGGCCATACCTCCAACGTCCTTCCCGCACTGGGAGTGGGGCCAGTGCAGGGCCCTTCCAGTTGCTCTCTTCTGGCCAGGGAGGCCCCATGAACAATTTTCACCTCCTTTAAGGCCCCTTTATACTGCCACACATGCTCTAGCTGGATCACTGCCCAAGCACGCAGAGTTATGCCTTAGATTTAGGACTTAAAACAGCCTCTTTGTTAATTGTACTTAACTCACTGGGCTCATAGAACGATGCTGATCTCAGCTAGTCCAGTGCAAATCCAGAGTAACTGTAACTGCATCCATGTAAACGTCTCAAGGCAGGAACTGCCTTTACTTTGGTGTATTCGGGTCCAGGATTGATCAAGCATACAGTCTATGGAGTTACTCCAGACTCTCACTGACGTCGCACAGCTCAGAAGCCAGCCCTAAATTGTCAATACTCACTTCTTCACTGCCTCCGCTGACTCCGGCAGCCTGCGACACGCAGCTAAGAGCAAAGCTACCGAGAGCTCGGCCGTGGCGTCCGTCAAGATGTCCGGGGTGTATCCCACACGGATTCCACTGCAATTCAAACACAGCATTTCGGTCCTCAAGCGTTAACACGTGAAATGCTAGTTTGCGCGTTTGTTTACATTTGGACGAAATCCTGTTTGTATTACACTTCATTCTGCGGGGCATTTTTCCCCACACAGGTTCTTATATTACCATATTATCGGAGCACCAAGCAAATAATAATTAATCTATCATCGATCCTCACAACACCGCTGGGAGCTCGGGCCGTGCTCTTATCCCCATTGTACAGACGGGGCACTGAGGCCCAGAGAGAGACTGAGGGTCACGTTTTAAAAGCTATCTAGGGCCTGTGGTAGAACTGGAAACCGAATCAACGTTTCCCGAGTCCCAGTGCAATGCCTTACCCCCAAGCCGACCCATTCTCTGTTCCAATTGGTTTCTCTCAATTAACAGTTCTCCATTTCTTGCACCCAAGAGGCAGGGGACACAGCAAATAGCGGAAGAAAATGCCTTCCATGGTTAAGAGTTAGCACACAAAGGAGCAAACAATACCGCTTTTTAATTTCTTCTAGAGCCAGATGGTCAACACCCACAGACAGCGTGCTGATTATTTTAAGGTTAGACCCTGCAAAACATGAAGACAGAACCCTCAAAACGAACGAAACACAACAATGGAAAAATGAAAGGATAAAAATGTCTTACAATTACCGGCTTGTAATTGTCTGAATCTTTGGAATCTACTCTAATGACCAGAAACACCTAACAGGGCTGACACTGAAGGAAGTCAGCAAAACCGAAATACCACTTTTTCAGGCAGCTGACTCTGGACATTTGACTGTGCTTTGTGCATAGTCAGTTTCACTGTTTCCCCTTCACAGCTGGTCAGTTTTCTCCTTCGCTGAGATTCACAGAGTTAGGCCAGAGTGACCATTATGACCATCTGATCTGATCTCCTGTTAACACAGGCCAGGGAACGTCACCCAGTCATTTCTGCATCAAGCTCGTAACTTCTGCTGGACCAGAACAGATTTTTTACAAGGCACCTTGTAAACATCAACTGGGAAGGGAAGCAGAAAATCTCTTATAACTTTTAAAAGAATTGAAACCAAAATCAGGATTTGCCAGAAATAGGATTTTTTTTAAATGCCAAAAACATCAAAGAAAGTTGAGTGTCCCGTTAGCTAAGAAAAAGTCTCTTTAAAGATGCTGCATCTATATTCCTAGCTGCTTCTCTTTGACTGGAATGGGAACAAGTCATTCTTTAGTGGTCATTTTCTGGGGAACTCTACACTAGGCAAAGAAGTTTCTTCTTGCAGGGAAAAAAAACCACACCCCCAAAAGGGACTGACAGTGAATTCTGGCCAGTGGACACTAGGGAGCTAGACACATCTCTTCGCGCCTTACAACTCTGTGCCGCCATGATGGAGGGACAGCGTGAGGTGGAATTTAAATGGAGGATTCGTATTAATGCATGGCAGCAAAGGAAGGGTCAGCCAATCCGCTTCTCAGGGGCTGTGAGGGCGAGACACCGGGACCGAGATCCGGGCAGCACGGATACAATTCTGTATGTCCTCTCTTTTTTCGATGACAAAAGATCAGCTAGAGGCATTCACAAGAGAGCCGCCACCCATACCCACCTGCTGCATCGAGGACCTCTTTGTCTATCCGTTCAGACAAGAGACAGAGCAGTCCATGCTTCCCAGCCACACCCGCCAGCAATTCTGACCGCGGGATAGGTTCGTCTGAATCCCATTGCTGGATGCTGCAGCTACAAGGATACATGAAAGTCACAAATCACATTAAAGCACGAGAAAGAGGCCCCCTTCAAGCCAGCGCTGCGTATTGCCCCAGGTATTCGTACTGTGTTTGCCGAGGGAAGTCAACAAAATGGAGTGAGAAACGCGCTCTTATTTTAGGCAGGAAGGTTAGGATTCCCTCCTTTCCTTCCTTGTGGATTTCTCTTTCACAGCCCAGGACTGTGGCACACAGTTACTAAAATACAGCCACGTGATGTCCTGTGTAGCACACGCAAGCCACCTGTGAACTGGCACACGAAAGGTCCGGCATCTTCTTTCAATAACTGCAGCAGCGGAAGGAGGAATAGTGGCAGGATCTCTTCACGCGTAGAGCAAAGAACATTAGTCTTGCAATGACCTGAGAACACACGCACGCTGCTCGCTTGGAACACTTTCTGAGCTCTGGCATCACTTTCAGCTTGTTCAAACCTTGCCTCAAGCCCGCATCAGCTGGGATCACTGCATACTGGTCTGGTGTTCTTTACACGGGCTGTCTAATGCTCCAAATGGTACAGACGTCAGGGCAGGTCAAGAACTTCCCCTTGAGCCTCAGCCTGGATGGTATCTGTGCTCAGAAATGACCAGTCTTTCAGGGATCCCCCCACCGCAGGACTGCCTCAGCAGCCCTTACTGTGGAGAGTCTTCGGCTTTCCCTTAATCTTTACCCCAGTTCATCTTTCCACACTTTTAAATAGCAACTGAAACTTTTCCTACTTGGCCTCTCCAGGTTCTTATATGGCTCCCCCATCACTGGAATATCTGAGCACCTCCTAATCAACAATGAATTTATTTCCACAGCACCCCCACGAGGCAGGGAAGTATTATCATTGCCATTTTACAGATGGGGAAACTGAGGCATGGACAGACTAAGCGACTTTTCTGAGGTCACACAGGGCAGTCTGCACCCCTAGCCAGCCCCTTAATCACACAGACCTCATTGCCCACTCCTTTCTGAAGGCCTTGTTTTGGATGCTGGTCGATGTCCTCTTTGCATTTTAAGAGGGTGATTTTTTACTGTTCTCAGGCAGCCCGTGGTGCCCCAACAATGCTCTGTGAACACATTACTACAAATCAATTTGGGGGCCTACCACTTTACAGAAGGCTTGGAATGCTGCAGGCAATTTAAACAAAGACACCACACAACTGCTCACTGCCCATGCACTAGCGTGTGTGTACTGGGGGGGAGGCGGGGGTCATTGCAGTAATGCCAGTAACTGATATTTTGCAATATGTGAAAGTTGCTTATTTTCTTAAAGAACAAACACGGGCACGAAACACAACGTAACTCATTTTAGCACATTCAATGCATGAAACAACGCTGAGCGGTCAGAACCTGTGCGCCTGGAGAAGGGTAATCCAGTGGCAGCCACAGTAGAGCTGGGGGGGGGGGGGAAAAGGGGGGGGTGAACAGTTTTGGGATCGGGTCTCCCCTTTGGCTTTGCATAGACAAAATAAGGGGTGTGTGGGGGTGCGGGGGGGGGGAAAGTCAGCTGTAGTTAGGAAAACAACTTTTAATAGAAACACACGTTTGGTTCTGAATGTTTTGCCTGGGAAGTACTGGAAGGCCGGAGATGGCTAAAAAACTGCTGATCCAAGGATAACGTACAATGTCAAACTAAGGTTAAAAAATTCAAGGAACCCATAGCCGGAGAGAGGGAGGGAGGACACATAACAGGCCTCCTTCTGCTCCCATTGAAGTCAATGGCAAAACCCCCATTGATTTCCCTGCTGCAAAACACAGGCCCTGATCCTACCAACACGTAGGCATGGCCTTAATTTTATGCACATGAATAATTCCACTGATGTCAACTGGATTAGCCAGGTGCATAAAATTAAGGACATACACAAGTGTTTACAGAATTGGAATTGGGACCTTAGCTGGCTATATTCTATGCACAGCATCGTTATGGTTATTTTAACTTTTGCTTCTTGGAATCAAAGGCCCCGACCAGCATCTGAGATCAATGGCTTACAAAATATTTCTGCATTAAAAAAAAAAAAAAAGGGCGAAGCCTTTTCAAGTCACAGGAAGGGAAAAAGGGGTTCTGCGCAAATTTTTCAAAAGTGCCGCAAATCCCCAAATCAAGGGGATTTAGGTGTTTGTCGATCTCTGTGGATCTGGGGGTCTAAGTGATTTAGGAGCCCAAATCCTATTGAAAGTCAGTGGGACTCCGAGGCTTCAAAGGACAACATTTTCAGAAGTGCCTAACACAAGAGCGCAGCAGTTTGTTTCTTTCCTCGTAAATAAAAACCAGCTCTCTGTCCCCTAGGCCTCAGCCTCGGATGGGTCATTTACAAGAAAAAAGAAATTACCACCCAGCTATAAACGCCTCCGAGCATCAGAGGGTGTCATGGAAAGGGTCAGAAACGGAACTGCCGTAAAATAGCTGGCACCACGTTCTAAACCCCTGCCCCTTGCCCTATGGGACACAGAACACACCAGAGCGCACGCTAGATAATCACGCTAGGTCTGAAATAGGCTGTAAACTCTTCAGGGCTGGGTCTCTGTCTTTTTACTACAGCTGCAGGTTCACTTGCAGAGCGACAAGTGATGAAATCAACGACTACATTTGTACCCAAAACCTTAATTTCCCCGGTTGGATCCTTCTCTCTAGAGCAGCAGCTGAAGGTTCTTATCCTCAGGCGGGCAGCACCTGGGGGCAGAGGCGTCTTTCTGTTCAGTGTTTGTACAGCGCCCAGCACCAGGGGCCCTGACTGGCGCTGCTGGGCACCATGGCAATACACAGAACATCACAGTGAGGACCATTTGCCAAGGCGTTCTCTGCCTGCACCTGGCTGCTGGTGGCAGCAATGGGAACAGGACCCCAGCGCATTTCAGGGGGGCGGTACGCCCGTCACTGGCGTTGGTGAAGGACTCCTCAGCTCCCGGGACACAGGCCTGGGACCTGCCTTTCCAGAAGCAGTGGCTAGTTCTGGGTGCCCAGGCTGCCACCCCTCCGAGGGCTGGGCACTGCCCGGCCTCCCAGCAGGGCCGAGGCTGCTCAGCACCGCTCAGGATCAAGCCCCGAGTCTGGCCCCCAACCCCTGCCCCCAGGCTGCCCATGCGGGCAGCCCCCTGCCCCCGCAGAGCCCCCCTGGCCACCCCGGCGGGGCCCAGCCCAGCCACGGAACCGCCTGCTGCGAACGGGCCCGGCCACACGTGGGGGGAGCCCAGCGCCCGCCCGGCTCTGCAGCCCCCGCCCGGGGGAGAACCGGGCCCGGGCCCCCGCCGCCT